GTGTTGTTGTTCTCTGATTCTGACAAACAAGGCTTGAATTCCATGAAGCCTGCAGTTTTAATTATAATAATTTTACAGAATACAGTACATGAGCTCAATGAGGTCATGGTACCATTTAATATGATTTCCTAATGGGCATTTGTACCTTTTATTGATGGGCTTTGGATAAGGAGTTAAAACAGTGGAACATTTTCAAGAGCACAGAAACATACATTTGATGATCGCCTCTCATATGTGTTTAAAAGTCAATTATATTACAACAACTCATGTATATTTTAAACCACTGTGAATCTGACCTGGCACTGACTGCCATGATCTCATGTTCTGATCAGATTGTATCCTTCTTGGTGAAAAAGTATGATCTGAATGGAAAGTGTAACTGAAGATTAAACATCCAACAGTGGTGTATTAAAAATATTCAAGCAACATTTTCTAATACAGTTTTATTTCTGTTTCAACCTGTTGCCTTGTGGCCAGTAGTATGTTTCTAGGGGACAATGGGAAAAAATAAAAAGTAGAATATTTATAAGTCATCATGTTGTTAGAGTTTAAATTACATTATATTAATAAATAATAAATAATAAATTAAGTAATAATTCTCAAACTGGGTGCAAATACATGCATATCTATAAGCATTCACACTGATTTGTATTCCTTTTTTAGTTATTCATCTTCTAGTGAGTCTCTCATTTGAAAAATTTAGAGAAGAGTAATTCATTTTTTTTTAAAGAACACTGAATTAACCTTGAAATACTCACAGCCTGGAGAGGAAAAATCATCTGGAGCTCAGCCTCGCCTCATTCTCACCTTAGGGAGACTTTGAACTGTAGTCATTTCCTAAAAACTCTGTTCTCCTCTAATGAACACTTCCAGTATAACTGAAGGAAGTGCAGTGTGGAAACCAGACATCTTTGAAACTTCAACATTGAGTAAATTATAGGAAACTGGCCCTTCAGAATATTATTTTAGATATAATTTTTCTAAAGAGGGAAATTCAGCCTACTGGATCTCTAGATTTATCTAATGGATCTGTACTATTAAGAGAAAATTGGGGGCATTCTATTTTTTGGAAAACCAAATAGGTACATACTGTATATCTAGATTAAACTGTTATGTTGTACACAGCGTCCATTTGGGGTTTCCGACACTGTTGCACTTTGGGTTTAATAAAGAGGGGTTACCTCTTTATGTCACTTGGGTGGTTTTGCGGGTTTTTGCCATTCTATGTCAGTTATGAGTTATGTACAATAAAGAGCAGACGTCTGTGAAATCTGTCCATCTCCATCTGGTCCATCTGGTTTTCCGCGGTGTAACATAAACCATGATAAAATTGTACACTTCAAAATTAAAACCATGATAAAATTTTTCGAGGTCAAGAAATATGAAAGGAAACAATTAGCTTCGGTGGATTTCCAAAGTTAATCTCTTATCTGACTTTGAATATTTATCCTTTAGATAAGCATGTTCTTTTTTTTAAACTAATCTATCAGGAATTGCTTCTGTTTTAAGTTCTTAATTTCTGTTTTATTTTTTAAAATGAAAGTGCAGTGCTCTGGTGTTGTAGCTGCTTTATCACACCAAGGTGGGCTTCAATTATACAGCTGCAGTTAATCCAATTACCTGCTTGCATCTAGCAGATATGGTGTTCAGCTCAAGTGTTACAGATATAAAAAAAGAGGACCACATCTGGCAGAGTGTTTGGTTTTTCGGGACAAGTTCTTAAATATTTTAATTAAGTTTGAGTTTTGAACTTGGGCAAGGTGAGCTTATGAACTGATTTATTTTTAGTCCATTTTATTTAATATCTTTTTGGTACAAACCACATAAACTTTGTACCACACTTTGGTGTGTAAGCCCTATGGAGGCCTTCCATTTACATGATGTTACTTCCGTGTAAAACTATGGAATGTGCCTTGTATTATTAATTGAATGCAGGAGGGTGCAAAAAAGAAAGCAAAGATTCATAACAAGTGAGCTAACTTGTCTTGTTTGTTGTCATCTTTGGTTCACAACAGATTAAGATAAACACAATAATGTAACCTGTTGTTTTTTTTTGCTTTATTGTGATAGCCAAAGACAGCCGTGTGCTGCCAGGTCAATTAAGTAATTAAGTACAGATGTAGACATCTAGAATGTGTAACATGTCTTCTGGTACTGTATACTTTTGAAAGCACTTCAGTATCACGGACAGCACCATGTCACAACATTTTTATTTTATCAGATAATCTGATGCAGAACTGCACTACTTTTTTAACACCTCTAGGTGCTATGTGTCTAATATACTGTACAGTAAATCTTATTTTAATAATACATATTTTAGTATTTTACAGTAAATGGTTAGTGTTGCTGTACAGTATTTTCCTGAGCTAGTCATACTGTACGGAAACACTAACAATTTTTACTCACAATGTGTTAAATACTGTATTAACTCATTGTGATAAATTAACTCATTTTAGTAAGGGTCTCCCAGAAGAAATGTTCAGCACAATATATTAAATAAGGAAAAACCTGTTGATAAATTTGGGAAATTAACTGTTAGTCTAGTAACAACTACTAACCTAATTCACATGACTAACCTAATCTTTTACTGGAAAAAGGTTGAGATTAATGCTTCATTACGTTCGTAAATCTGGAGTTGTGCAGCTGGAGTGCATTCATACAGTTACATTTGAAAAATATAAAAATAACGTATTACAGTTAAATAAAAGGTGGCAACAATTGCAAATTCTAAGAGTGACCTTTAAAACCTATGTATGACCATTCATATTCCTTTCGTATTTTTGTGGATACTGTTATAAATTAAATCTAATTAAAATATCTACAGGTTAATACAGGATGTCAGAAATATTATACAAATATATTTAAATGAGAAACTTTGAAGTGGTGTTCAGTATGTCACAAAAAGATGTTGGGGACTGGTCACTTTTGTGTTGAAACAAAAAAAACTTTTAAAGTACCATATAATGTCTATTAATTCAAGAGCCTGTTTGTTAAACAACACTGAATTAGTACTTTGTGCATTAAGCCTAGAATGCTTTAGTCTAAACTCACTTGGAATGTTATGTTGGGATCTCTATACCACAAAGATATTGCTGCACTGGATGTTGTACAAAAGGCCAATTCCAGGTCTGAAGATCGTGTCATACATGGATGAAGAGGACTGTACCTTTTTAGTAGCATTGAACAATGAAGATTGGAATTGGATTCAAGCTTCAGAATCCTGCAAGTCTTCGATCAAGTTAATTCAGTTTAGCATTAAAGAAAGAAGGGACTTCAGAAGAGAAGGACTTCTGAAGAATGGAACCACATTTTTGAAGCTGACTCCACAGGATCCTGTTTTAAACAGCTTGATAGAGACTTCGGTAACTTTGTAAGCTCTATTAATTCTACATATCTCTCTAATTCTCAATGGGAATTGTGATTTACTGACACAATATGTACATGATCATGTAAATTTGGATGTTTTGTATGTGGAAAAAATAAACATTGTCATTGCATTGTCTTTTTCCTTCATTGTTTTTTGTGAGAAAATCATTAATAAACATAATGTAAACAAACAGCTTGATGGGATTCTTGTATTATTAATCTGCTAGCAATTAAATGAACAAGATGGTCCAAATGGCTTCATTTTGCTTGTAATCTTTCTAATGTCCTTCTAATGTTCTCAAACAGGCCTACTCAAATTGTGGCCTTTAGAGTTCAGTCAATTGTATGATGTTGTTTATCCATATTAGCAATTATTGAATTGATTGTCAGTAGAATCAATGTAACAGTTGCTGGATGGAACTGGTAACAAGTAACAGTGCTGTTGGAGCAAAGTGATACCTTGAAATGCCTACTAGGACACAGGCTATGTAACACTGTAAAAAATGTAACTGTGTTTCTGTAATCTTCTCTCCTAACACAAACGCCAACCTTGCCTAGCTTTTGCACTGCAATGTATTCCTGAATAGTTTTTTTTTTCCTACTAGGTTATGTGTATGTGGCTTTCCAAGACAACACCAAAAGCAGTGGAAGGAGCTATGTGGTCGGGTTGTTCTGGACCCTGAATTTATGGTGCAAATGCTGACGTCGGTATATCATGCCATGTAAGTGCCTGCAGTCTATATTTAAGTTTCTGATGACTGTCCAATGTATAAATGTGCAAGTCGCTCCATGCTCGAGTTTTTACAAGGACAATAATAATGCTGTTATGGGACTTGGTGCACTGGCCTTCATGGTCCATTACTATTGTTTTCCAATGCAAATTACAGATAACTGTGTTCTTTATCTAGAGGGGGTTCACATGGCTCACATGTAAAGCAATTCTAGTTACTGTTTGCAATTGGATAACTTGGAGTCATAAATTCAGACATAAACCAGATACTCTTGTGTAGTTTGCTTACCTCTCTTGTGAAAGTAAAGAGATAAAACTGATTTAAAATCTTTTGTGCTGGATTTGTGAGGTAAGTTAGGAATGATTGTAAGTATTATGATGTCAAATTCTTAGTAGTATATCTCAGAATGAGGCAGATCTAGTATAAGGTTACAAAAATAGCTGTGTTGCTTTTTGGTTGCTCTCAGTCTATAATAGCACTAAAAGTAAATTTGGTTTGTGTGGTTAGCTATGCATTAGGTTTAAACCAGTGGTACCCCATCCTGGTCTTGGGTGACCAGAGAAATGTTTTCAATTTTCAATCTGGGACACACAGAGATACATTTTTAAATTCTCTTTCAACTCTTAAACCAACAAATGAGATTTGTAACTGATGTCAATCCTCCACCAACACATCCCTGCCTGATGAGCTGACCATTTCTATGCCCGCTTTGATGCTCTAAACACAGACACTGCTGAGAAGACCCCAAGTATACATGGCGAGTTTGTTCTGAAACTCTCAGAGCAGGACATGCAGAAAATTCTAAGTAGGGTAAAAATCCTGATTTGATACCACCCTGCGTCCTCAGGATATGTGCAGCCCAGCTGACCACAGTGTTTACGGACATCTTTAACTCCTTCCTGTCACAGTCCATTGTCCCCACCTGCTTAAATAAAAACTATTGTTCAACTTCCCAAAAAGGCAGAAGTTACTTGCATTTGAGTAGCATTAACATATGTGGTAATGAAATGCCTGGAGAAGCTGGTGTTGTCACACATCAACTCCTCCATGACAGAGTCCCTGGACCCCTTGCAGTTCGCCTACCAGGACAACAGATCAGTTGATGATGCTGTCTCCCTAGCTCTACATACAGCCTTGTACCACCTAGACACTAAGAACTCATATGTGAGAATGCTGTTTGTGGACTACAGTTCAGCATTCAATTCCATGATACCCAAGCGAACTGGTGACAATGCTCAGGGGATTAGGTCTGTGCAACTCTCTCTGCAACTGGCTGCTGGACTTCCTAATCGAGAGACCACAGGTGATGTGGATAGGTAATAAAACATCAACACCACTCACCCTAAGCACTAGAACCCCACAAGACTGCTGTCTGAGTCCAAGGTTGTACTCCCTGTTCACTCACGACTGCACAGCAACAACCGCATCATTACATTTGCGGACAACACCACCATAATAGGCCTGATCAGCGATGATGATGGGTCTACTTACAGGGATTAAGTTGTACAGCTGCTGAGGAGGTGGTGCCATAGCAGTAACCTGGAATTGAACATGAGTAAAGCAAAATAACTAATAGTGGACTTTTGGAGACATGGGCCGCACAGCCCACTCAGTATTGATGGAACGGAAGTGGAAACAGTCACCAGCTTAAGGTTTTTGGGAGTTCACATTTCTAATGACCTAACCTGGACTGTGAACACGGACTCTATCTTGAAGAAGGCTCAGCAACATCTATTTCCTGAGGTGCCTCAAGCGATGGAGGATGCCAGTACCTGTGTTGGTGAACTTCTACCGCTGCACCATCAAGAGCGTCCTCACCAATGGGATCACCGTGTGGTATGGAAACACCTCTTCTTGAGAGAGAAAGTGGTGGCAGAAAATGGTGAATGTGGCCTAGAAGATCATCAGCCGTGGTCTCACAGAGGTTAAATAGCTCTATGAGGACCTCTACCATGGTAGAATTCTGGCCATCACAGAGGCCATCACTACCCCGGGCATGAGCTCTTCACCCCACTGCCCTCAAGCAAGAGATACAAGAGCATACAGACACTTGCCTTATTCTTCAATAGCTTCTACCAAGAACACATTTGGCCACACTCCTTGGACCATACCTACACCATCTACCTCATTGTAATTTTATTCATTGCACATCTGCAGGCATTGTTTACATATCTGCATTGTTTACATTCAAACTGTTTACTTGTTTACTTGTACATTGTCTACTGTTTCTTGGTATATTGTCTTGAAGCACTTCGTGTTTTACACTTTTTTTTAACAATCAAGAGACTTTCTGTAAGAATTCCATTGTACCAGTACATGTACCGGTTACATATGGCAATAAAGTTCAAGTTCCAGCTCACCAGTTTCTGAGATTCACAACTTCCATCACTCAGGTACAGTATGCTGCCTGAAATATAACTAATTGAACCTTTGCTGAAGGAAAAAATATTTACTGTGGAAGTAATTCCTGTTTAATGTCTTTTCATCTCACATTCACCAGCTATTGAGAGTTGTTTGTTTAGAAAGACGATTAGGAAAGCTGAGAAAAGACTGGTAAAAGATTAGGTTTATTCCATGCTGAAAAAAAGAATAAAGAAAAAAGTTTTCTTTCTTCTTTTTTTCAGCATGGAATAAACCTATTACTTCTTCCTTTGCAGCCTACACATGCTGACGCAGCTACCCACCTGGTAAAAGATTACCTGTTATAGTGTAACATCACAGGGAGAAGGTCAGGTAGCAGTGACTTAAGGACCATACATAAGTAATTTAAACATTCAGACATTTTTAATACATTTCATGTTTGGAGATGGAGAATGTTGTATTATATTATGTTGTATATAACTGTATAACTACTCTGCAAATTCAATTTAAAGTGTTTTTGAGCTCTGGATGAAGAGGCAATTTAATTCCTCGATGTGCAGCCAATGCAGATGACATCAAACTGGTCATTTCTGCTGTGTGGCAATCTCAAGCATACAGAATTCAAAGCTTTAAGT